CTCACAGTACCAACTGTTGAAAGCAAAAAAAACCAAACATGCCACAAAGGGTACTGACTTGTTGAGATGCTCATAACAGGGCTCACAGACTCTCACTTCCTTCTCAATCCCAAACTTGGGGATGGTGGAATACTTGGAAGAACATTTGCCACAGAAGATCTGCCCGCAGGCCCTGCAGTGATGCTGGAAAAGATGGGAGACATCAGTGTGGTAATGAGACACTTCTTCACCGCTGGACAAGTTCACTCAGACAGGAACATGTTCCCACCCAGATGAAATTCCACACAGGCTCAAGGAGTCTTGCATTTTCTGGAGGGGCTGCAAGAGGCCAGGGAACCCAGAAAGGCAGGAATAGCACCCACCTTTCGTGTCACCACACCAAACTGCACTCGACACCTGTGACACTCCTCAGCATCCACCCAGTCTGGAGCCTGTTGGGTTTGAAGAAACTGGTGTGAGGAAGGGAGCAATGTCTCAAGGATGGTGGCTCCACAGAGCCTTTCAGGATCTCCTCTGACTAACTAAAGCTGTCATGAATGAGGCAGGAAAAAAAGCATTTGCAGCTCTAAGGGATATTGGTCCTTGCAAGCAGTCACCTCTTGTGTTACTAGACTGTGACACTTTCCCAGTCAACAGGATTACAGCAATCACTTCAGCCATGCCCTGCTACCACAGTCAGTCTGCCATGCTGTTGGAAACCCACTGGGTAGGTCCTTTCTGTGGGGCCTTTCTGTATGATAATTGTTGCATCCTGGCCTGAACCACTGATTGAGCACCTGGGGAAAGGACCCGGTCAGCCCCGGGAGCACAGGTGAAGGCAATTCAGCTGTGCAACCAGAAGGGCTGGAGCCTGGCTGCAGCTCTCTTACACCTCATTTAAGGGCTGACTGCCACTGGGGAAGGCTCTCTTCCTGGAGATCCCTCCTTAGTGAAGCTTTTCCCTGTGAACCTAGGATCTTCTGATACAGGTGAGCAATCTTCTTCCTTTGCTTTATAGCACCTCTCTATTATGCCAGTCCTCTCGTCATCACACCTTTGCTGTAATGCCTTTCCTGTTGTATTGATATGTGTAATTGCTACAGGCACTTAGCAAGATGAGACTAATTGACCAGGACAGGGTCAACTGTCCCCTTCCTCTTAACCATTTTAGGCCAAACTGCTGGACTCAGAATTGCCCAAATGATAGCTGGGAGCAATATGCACCCAGCAAGGTCTCTAATCTGAGTGAAATAGAAGAAAGCAAGAACTGAAGGTTTAGTATCTCTTGGGCTGCAACAGCAAGGCCTGCCCTGCAATACCAGCTCCCTCCCCAGCAGGGAAGCTCACCCTTTCTGCAGCAAACATGGCATCACTTTCCTTGAACTCTGGAAACACATGACCTGTGGGAGAACAGACAGCGCTCCATGGTGAAGGGCTTCTCCTGCATGTGGAATATCTTCAGTCCAGATTCCACCAATGCCAAGCTGAGACCCAAAGCCCATTCCTTCTGCAAAGCTCCTCCAAAGCAGATCTGCTTGGCAACTGTCCGCCCACCTTTGTCCCCAGCATCCTTACCTTCAACCTTCATTATCTGATAGGTGTCCTGCACCACCTTGTACTTGGGCTCATTGCGGAAGGCGTGAGCCCAGGCCTGGATAAGGTTCAGAATCTTACTGCGGACACTTGTTTCCACTTGCCTCTGCACAGAAAGGGGAAGAAAAAAAAGAAATCTGAAGAAAAAAATCCCTGAAACACAGAAGATGGGTCAAATACTCTTCATAGAAAGAGGAACTTGAAGTACTTGTGCCAGCAGGCTGCAAGCAGAACAGCTTACAGCAAGGACTACATCTCCTTCAGCTTTCTCACTTTCTCACTTCAGCATAAATAGGAGGACATCCTTCAGAATGGCACAAATCAACTTGAAAAGGGGTGTAGTGTCACAGTGCTTTTGGAAAACATCTACAGAGACTCATACAGTTGTTCCCCAGGGGAAGTGTAACCACTGGCTGGCCAACAATCTTGTTTACCCTCTCACAAGAGCTGATCATCCTGCACTCCAAAACCTGCACAGTGACAGCCATCAGGCTGGACAGGACAGCACAATGTGATTCTCCCCAGTTCTGATAGGGCACCACAAACACAAAGCAGGAGGCTGTTTGTGCCTAGCTGTCAGCAGCTCCAGCTTAGAGACTCCTGCCCGTTAATACTCAAAACTAGTTTGGATATGATGCAATAAGGACAGCTGGGAGCCTGCCCTTTGCAGGCAGTTGTATCACAGCTCAAGAACTTGCTCAAGAGGAAACTTGGCAGGCCCATTCCTATCCCAGTCAGCCTCTAAGTGCACCCTGTCATCAGCTGACCAAGTCATGGCCTGCTCACATGACCAGTTTCAGCAGAAGTCACCCAGGAAGCAGAAAGGTATTGTCAATTTCCTATTTCAGCTGAGAAATTTTTTGTCAGGTTCCTATTTTCAGCCCACGTAGCAGGACTTAGTAATAGTTCCTGGAGCTCCAAACTTACAGAAGAATTGTCAAGATCCTGCTTTCCACAAATGGCACAGCCCTGAGTCTCATCAGAACAAAGCTGCTTGTGAACACCTAATGCAACGTTCCCAGTGTAGGATGGAAATGCCTCTGCAAACTGCTGAGGCAGGTAAGGACTGGAGAGCTTCACAAAATCTCTCAATCCAATCTGATGTGATTTCCTCAGAGCCTGGAGTGGCTGCACTACTACACCTGGCCTTCACATTGTGGCAGCATTCTAAGTTCAACAGTAGACACAGTATGAAGGCTGAATCAGCCCCCAAGAGGAAAATGACAGAAGAGAGATGCTCTGCTACGTTGCATAAGATGACAGGACTAGCACAGCTCACTCCACAGATATGTGGGCCATCTACTTGTCTATTTCCAGCAGGAGACAGGGATATAAAGAAGTAACAGCATCACTCTAACAAGCTCTTGTCTGTGCACTGCTGTTTTTGGGACTGGAAACTGAAGAGGTTCTTATTTGCACCTCACTTTTGGAAGTCTCAAGTCCTGGGACATAAGGAGCTCCTGCAGGCATGGTGTTATCACACTGACAAGTGATACAGGTCTACGTCCTGCAAAACTCCTCGGGCCAGTTCCACATGCCAATGAAAAGGCCATACTATAGATGAAACTTCCACCACGCTGCTCACCTTCCTGCATGCCTCACCCTGGTCTATGGGAAGGGAATTCACAACAGCACCTACCATGAAAGAGTCTGTGCCTTTCATAATCCCACCCATGGTGTAACCAAACATTAACACAGAATCACAGAATTGCAGGGGTTGGAAAGGACCTCCAGAGATCATAGAGTCCAACCCCCCTGCTCTCATGATATCTTCTCTCCCCAGCAGGCACCAGTCAGCTCTCTACACTCATCCCTTTGTATTAAACAGTACAGGTTGCTTTTCTCTGAAAAAGATTTCCTTACACGCAGAGAATGAAACACAGAACATGCATGTTTTTTTCCTTTCATTGCCTCTCTTGCAACTTCATTCAAAAACTGAAGTAAAATAACATACGCTTACCTTGAGTATTTCTTTCAGTTCCTCCATAGTTTGTTTGTTGGCTACCTCATCATGAACTGTTTGACCACAGTTTTTAACCACAGACTCCATAACCTGCAAGTGCAAAGGGCAGCATTAGCCTGTTGCTTTCTTCCTTCTCTGTGGTTTGCAGTGAAAGAACAAAAAAAGCTGCGTTTCAGTTACAGGTTCTTGCAGCAGGTGCACAAAGGGGGCACTATTTAAGTAACAATTCAAGCTAAGGAAGCATCAATTTGGAGAAATCCACACCATGAGACTGGAGCATAAGCTATGCTTCAGTTTATACCATTGCTATTTATACCACATGGGCAAGCAGACAGATTCATAAAGACAGTCTCTCAAACGCTTGCTCCAAGGCTGAATGAAAAACACAATCATTCTTGAAGCCTCCATGCTAGAGCAGAAGGCAGGCTTGGAAGAGATGGGAAGTTCCCTGGCCTGTAAATTGGGCCCCTAAATCATGAGAGGTTTGGGCTGAAGTTACCTCCAGTGCGTAGAGTGCCACGTGGGGATTCTTATCATTGACCTTCTTCTTGATAGCGTTGACTGCGTATTTTGCTCTGGACAAGGAAAGAGAGCACATATGCCCAGGTAAAGCTGAATCTACAAGGTTAATCTGTCACCCTCCCAGTGACAGAAGAGTACAGTTATCTCATGGTGCACTCAATTCCCCACAAGGAAAAGTGGGAAGAGGACTGCACATATCCAAGCTTGAGCTTCTCTATTGCTTTCAGGGCAGATATAACCTGCAGCTACTAAGGTCAGGAAGGGTACTCCAGAACACTGAGGGGTGCTGCCTCTCATCTCTTCTCTGAAACAGCACAGTGAGCAGCCACAGGCTGACAAAGTGAGACCTCCATGTTTCACCTTCCGCACGCAAGCAGATTCGTGCTCACAGCTTAAACCAAAACGCAAAGGGGCGCTTACTGCGTGTCTCCCTGGCGGATCATGTCGCAGATCTGCAGGATGGATTCCCAGTCCGTCTCCAGCAGAAGCTGACTCGTGGCTTTATCTGCAAAGAACCGCGACCCCTCTCAGGCTGTTGCAAGCGGCAGCCGCAGGGCTCGATCGAAGCCCCCGACGTGCCAGCCGCGATGCCCCAGGGCAGCGCCCGGCTGCAGACAAAGCTCCGGTTTCTCTGGGGATCCGCAACCCCGGGCCCCCCCCCGCCCCCCCCCCCCCCACCGCCGTCGCCGCAGCATCGGCCCAGCCACAGCGCCTGGGCCCGGGCCGCCCCGCTACACGAGGCTGAGCCGCGCGAGGTCGGCCCTGCCGGAGGCGCGTCCCACGGGGAGACTCAGCCCCTACCCAGAAGCCGCTCGAAGGTGCCGCCGCCGCGCCCCATGGTGATCGCCGCCGAGCCGTCCCTCTCCCTCCCCGCGGTCACTTCCGGCTTCGGCTACTTCCGCCTTCCGGCGTGGGGGCGCGCGCTGCTTCCGGCGGGGCGGGGATGGCGGGCGCTGCGCGGCCCGGGCCCACGTGCCTGCTGCTGGGGGCGACGGGCGTCGGGAAGAGCCTGCTGGGGAAGCGGCTGCGCAATATCCGAGCGAGCTGGGGGTCCCGGGGCGCGGGGCCGGGGTGGGGGCGTGCCGCACGCTGCTTCTGGCCCGTCCTTAACGCACCGGCACAGCTGTGCTCCCGGGACGGGGCCAAGGAGTTGGGCGAACCCCCGGCCACGCTGCCCACGGTGGGCACGAACCTGACGGACCTGACGCTGCACAAGAGGGTGACGCTGCGGGAGCTGGGCGGCTGCATGGGCCCCATCTGGCCCAGCTACTACGGGGAGTGCAGCGCCGTGCTGGTGAGCGCCCGCCCGGCCGCGCTGCAGGGTGGAACTGCCCCCCTCGGGCCCCCCCAAGCGTCTTTTCCCTCTCTGCAGTTCGTGATCGATGCGGCCAACCCGACCCAGGTCTCCGCGTCCTGCGTCCAGCTGCTGTCCCTCCTCTCCGCAGAGCAGCTCGCCGCCGTGCCCGTGCTGATCCTCTTCAACAAGATGTAAGGAGGGCATCGGGGCTCTGCGGTTCCTGTGTCGTTTCCAGCAGCCCAAGGGGCCGATGGGCCCTGATAGTGCAGTGCTGCTGTGGGTGGGAGGTTAATGCAGTGTGGTTAATGTGTGCCACCTCCTGTCATAGCGACCTGCCCTGCTACATGTCACTGGTGGAGATGAAGTCGCTGTTCCGCTTGCAAGACATTGTCTCCTGCGCCACGCAGCCCATCACCATTCTGGAAACCAGTGCACGCGATGGCACCGGCCTGGCTGATGTCCTGCAATGGCTTCAGGCCACCTTCAGGGACCCTAGCTAACCTGGCCCCAGCACCTGTGCAGTGTGACAGGCTGATGGCAGGCAGCAGCTCCTCGGTACTCCATGGTAAAACTGAAACATAAACCCAAGCCATCTTTGTCTGCAAGCAATCCTGCAGCACTTCTCAGGGTGCCTCAGAGTGTGCTGCCCTTCCCCTACAGGCTGTGAGACCCCAGCAGAGGGAGTGCCACCTGCGGGAGGGCCCTGCTGGCTGCTTGCATCCAGAGCAAGATGGAGCTCTGAAACTGGATGGTCCCTGCAGGTGAGACTGTCGGCTCTGGAGCCACGCAAAAGTAGAGGGCTTCACAATGTACAGGTGCTGCTGCAAATCATCAGGTACATAACTGAAAATCAGACATGTTTATTTACACAGGTGAAAAGCAGAGCCCTGTGTGCTGGAGATTAGCAAGGGGCAAATGGATATCCTATCACTGTGCTGCTGGCAGGACATAGAGCCAGGCTGCATCCTCACCCTAGATGAGCAAAACCTGCTGGCATGAGCATGTAGCTGGGTTTGGAGGCATGGAGTATGCAGGAAGACAGGGGCTTGGGGGTGTTGTGCTGATACACAGCACTGCAGATGCCTCTCTGGCACTCACTATGGTTCAAAAAACTGCAGACGATGAGGAAGATTTTTGTTCTGAAGCAGCCTGATAAGCTGATTTCTAAGATTTTGTTGTATGTTGTTTTCAAATTCTTGCTCAATGGCCTTGTAGTTGTTCTGTGGGGGATTGTTTATCACAGAAGTGTCTTTTGAGACGACCTTCTCCTGCAGCTCCTTCGTGCCTTGCAGCAGCTTGCTCAGGCTCTCATTCTCAGCGCAGTTTCCATGCGGCCATGGGACGTTTTCCCTGGTGTCACCCTCATACGGCTGGAAGTTGACGTGATACATCATCTTGCAGTTCACGCAGGGTGGCTTTTCTATGAAGGCTCCATTGCTGTAGCAGAAGGCTCGGCACTGCACTTCATCAGGGAAGACAATGACCAGGTTATCCTGCCCGTGGTACACTGCGAACGCCACCGCCTTGTGCCACGTCCTGAGGCACAGGATGCTGATCATGATCTTCTTCTCCATCAGCCCTCTGCAGGAGACAGATGCTCCATAGAAGAGAGGGAAGCCTGCTTTATTCTCAGGTTTTTTGGGTTCTCTGTAAAAGCTGTAAGCGACAACTGCGGCTCTGAAGACGAACTCACTGGGCCTCATTCCGGGTGCTTGACGCTGTATTGCTATTTCCACAGCGCTATTAAATTCATGCAAGAAAGACTCCATTTCCTCTTGGGTGCTGCAGCCTGCTACTTCCTTGCCCTGGGAACATACACAGATCTCAGTACAGACCCCTCCTTGCCTCTTTCATTCCCCAGCAGTCAATATCTTGCAGGAAGAGGGGATGAGTGTGGTCTTAAAAGATAAAAATAATTCTGTTTCCCTGAGTTTGTTAGCACCAGCTGGTCTGTACAGCTCATGGTGACTTGAAAAGTGAAAAATAGAAGTCCTGCTGCCTGTTTTGCTGCCTGCTAGGCTGCACTGCCAGGATGTGCCTGCAGTATGCTGCACTTGTCACACACCTGCCCTTCCCCAGCCCTGCTGTTGACACCATGTATGTGTGGAGTACTCACAAACTGCAGCAGGATGGAGTATGGTGTCATGGTGGGCAGGTGGGTGTTGTACTCTTGGAATGATCGAGGATAATTCTCCTGCAGGTTCTGGAAAGGTTGTGAGAGTAGGAATTCGTTGGGTTCTATCTGCCTCTGATTCAGCCTTCCAAAGAAGAACACTGCGTGCAGCACCTGTTGGCAAGCAGAGACCCAGTGCTGAGCTGTCCCTGGATGCACAGTAGAGCCTCTGCGCTGGCCTCTGCCACGGCTGCTCCCTCCCCGAGAGCTGCTCCCTATTGCCTTGCGTGGTCCCTTTCTGCATCCTGTGCTCCGTGCAGTTTCTCCACACCTCGCAGAAGCTCTGCACAAGCAGGGAGCAGTGGGAGCCCACAGACCTGAGCTCCCACTCCATTCCCTGCAGACCCTCGCACCCACGATGGAGCCACTGCTGTGGGAGTTATGCCACCAGAGTTCCCCCACCTCGGACGGGATGCACAGCAGTGCAGAGGCCACAGAAGGGCCATCAGGTTGGTGGTGAAGCACTGACCTTTTCCATGTATTGCTTTTTGATGTTTTCAACTGGCTGCCACCTAGCCAACAATTCCAAGAACTCCTTGATGAAGAGATTCCCACTGATCCGCATCTGGAATTTATTCCTCTCTTCTTTCCATGCCAAAAGCCTGTGGGACCAGAAAGGAGCACGTGGTGGCTGTGTTGGGGTTACCCCCATCTGCGGGGCAAGCAGTCACCCCCCCACATGGCCAGGGAAAGGGGCACAGGAGACGTGAGGCTCCATCTTACCTTGAAGAGTTGTGGCTGGGACCCTGTGGGAGGGAGAGGAAGCTCAGTTGATGCAGTGCTGCATGGACCCTCCAACCCCACTGCACACCTGATGGCACTGCGTGGACTTGGGGTGTCCCGCAGCATCTCTAGATGGCACCACTGCTACCTGCTGGCCAAGATGCTACAGAGTGGCCAGCAGCAGTCCCCAAGTGAGAACATCTCTCTGTGTCTCCCAGAGAGAAGGGACAGGCTTCACCCACCTGGTTTTGGCTCATTGAGTATGCAGAGCTCTGCGCTGCAGTTCTTGGGTTCCGGTCTATGGGGCTGTAGGAAAGCAGTGAGGTCAGAGCAGTCAGCAGAGCAGCAAGGTGAGGATCACCAAGGCTGAGTGCCCTCCATGCCACACGCAGCCCAGAGCTGCCAGCTTTGGGGTGGGGTCACTCTGCTGTGCACATCTGTCATTCCCATGCCATCCCACTGCCCTCCTCCCTGACAGAGAATCAGATTAAAAAAGCATCACTTACTTGGCAGAGGCAAAGGGTCCTCAGAGTCTGCGCTGCCTTCAGCCACTGGGAGGCACGGTGCTGGCTCTAACCTGGTGCCTCTAAACCCGCTGCTGATATGGCGGCTCTAAGAATGCACTTCCCCAAAAATATGCAATGGGAGAACTGTGCAAGGGAGTGGTTGAGCTCTTTGCACTTTCGTTTTTCCATAAATGAAATCAAATCTAAGAGACGTCATTGTCAGGACAAGCAGGGTGTGCCCTCTGCACTCTCTTGGTGCTGGTACGCCAAGCCCTGGGTGCAGGTCTCCATAGAGCTGCTTGGAAGTGGATGTCAAAGCCAGGACAGCTGACCCTTACTGACCAAAGGATATTCAATGCCATGTAGGACCATGCTGGAGTAAGGAAGGAGAAAGGCCAGCAGGGCAAGGGAGGTGCTCATCCTCTCTCCTCTGCCCTGTGGAGGCCTCATCTGGAGCATGGGGAAATATCCAAACCCACCTAGACGTGCAGCCTGCTGTGGAGGACCTGCTTTAGGGGGATTCGACCTACAGAGGTCTGCTTTAGCTGGTGACTTGGCTTTATGTCAACTCTATTTCTCATGCTTGTATCCTTCCAATTCTGCCCGTTGCCCTGTATGGGGGGATTGAGCGAGTTGCCATGCCCACCCAGCAAGCAGTGCTCAGAGGGCTTTAAATGAGGGAGTGCTCACTGCTGGGAGCTGGAGCAAGCTGACCCTGGTATGGAGGCAACGCCTTTGCTCCCTGACTGTCACCCCTCCTGTGATGAGGACAGGTTCAGCTTCACTGGACAGCCTGCACAAAGTAATTCTTGAAGCTCCTCTTGATTCTGTTACACTTAGCCAATGGGGAAGCTGGAAAAGCCCCTCCTGCTAGGACTGAAAGCCTGCTGGCACCACAGCAGAACAAAACGTTTGTCACGCTCTTAACATAGGTAAAAAAGAATGAGTCAAAATCCTGTATATTTAAAATCTTTAATGTTTGATTAAAGCAAGTTTGTGTTTGTGCAAGAAAAATCTCACTTCAGGACACAGGCTTACACAATGATTAACCTTTAAAAGTGCAATTTTAAGGGCAAATCCATTGAGATTTGATCTGGCAAAGGCTCAGGAGAGATTTTACAAGTCTCTTCAACTCTGTGAAAGGAGTTTGTGGCGAGGTGAGAGTTGTGTTCTGCTTCCAGGTAAGATGAATAGGATGAGAACAGGATGAGAACTAATGGTCTGAAGCGATTCCAGGCTGGATATGAGGAAGAATTCCACAGAAACAACTATGACCTGTTGGCACAGGCTGCCCAGGGACAGGCAGGGATCACCACCCCTGAAGTTGTTTACAGGAAAGGCAGATTAAACACTTGGGAATGCAGAATAGTTCCACTCCTTGTCACGCGCGCAGATTCAACAAGCAACAACAGGTTTGTTCTACTGCAAGCCCAGGAGACGTTGGAAGTCCTCCTTCCCTCCCTCAAGGAACCGCTGAGTGCTCTGCCTCAGCTCCTGGATTATCGGGTCTTTGTCTCGCTCCGCCTCATCCTGTTAGGAGAGCAACCCAGGCGCAGTGAGGAACTGATGGAGGTGGGATCGGTGCCCATCAGCACTGGACATCCCACCCCCCCTCAGGCGTGCCTTTCCTTGGTTTTCACCCACACCCTCTAGCTCACCAGTGAATCTATGTGCTCTCCGCAGTGGTAGACTTCTTTCCCCAGGCGCTGCAGCCCTATCTTTGTGAATTCTTGCATATTCTTGGCAACTTTGTGCAGCGTGTCCTCCTCGTAAGCGTACACCTCCCCGCTCTCAGCAACGAGGATGATGAGCTGCTGCCCCATGGCCAGACAGGGCACGTCATCCACCGTGCCCACCACCTCCATCTTGGTGGGCTGCGGCAGGTAGAGCACCTCACAGTACTCCTTCAGCTCCTCCTGCCCTTCGTAGAAGGTGCCCTCCAGGCCCCCGACCCGCAGGCGGAATTGGGGCTGCTTTTCAAAGCCCACCATTTGGCCTCGGAGCTTCCTCACACACTCACGAATGTCGTTCAAGCTGCAAGCTGTATAAAAAAGGGAAGCTGGACCCGGCGGTTGGCTGCTGTGCTGCGTTGCTGCCTGGCTTGGAGCCCCACGAGCCGGGAGTCTGGAGCCAGGAGCGGACCGCAGGAGCCCAAACTGAAAATCATCCTTCGTGGTGCTGTAGGAAATCCCCGTGCTGCCATGGGAAAAGCACACGTGAGCAGGGCCACAACGGCGTCTCCCTGACCTGGCCACGTCTGATCCCGTCTCACAGCTCTTGGGCCAGTTCCCGGCCTCGTCACTGCCCCTCCGGTCCGGTCTGCTCCTGGACCCCCCCCACCCCTGGCCGCCTGGTGCCCGTCTTGCCTCACTTTCCCCCTTCCCCCGACCTGGCCCCCCCTCAGCCTCCCCACCACTTCTGGCTGAGCGCTTCCAGCCCGTTCCCAGTCTTGTCCTACCCCACCACCCTCAGCCCACTCTCAGACCCCCCGGTCCCGACCACCCCCATCCTCCCACCACCCATAACCCAACCCCATCTCCCCCCAGTGCCTCCAGCCCCATTCTCCCACACCCCAGTACCTGGGTGACCTGTTGAGGCATTGCGAGTCCACAGACATGGCTCAGTCCCCTGCCCACCCTCACCCTATCACCCCCCCACCCTCAGAGTGCTGCAACACCAAACGCTTTCGGTGCGTCCTTGGCAGCTGCCAGGGCTGCCTGGGTTCCGGCTACACCCAGCAAAAAAAACACTGGAGCTCTTGCTCCGCCCCAAGCTGTCATGTTAGTTTCTGTTCTCTTAGCGCCACTGTGCGGGGCTGCTGACATGGCACTGCGACACAGCGTCCTTCCGCGGCTCCACATGGGGACATTTAATGGTTATTTCAGAGAGGTGACAGCCCCGAACAGAGCCTTTGTGTTCTCTGCCCACGAAGCACGGGGGAATGATGGTTTCTTTCCGAGCCATCCTGCTGCACGGCCCTGCTCACTGCACACACCATGGTGGTTTCTTTCCAAGGCAGAAAACTTCAAAACTTCACCACCTCCATTCCAACGGGATCCAAGGTGCTGCTTTTCCAGGCTGCTGGGCAGTTTGCATGATGGAGAGTTGTTTGTAAGCACAGCTGTGTGCGCAAGCCGGTCCCATGGAGCTATGCTGGGACACAGCAGTGGGGCTGTGCTCTTGGCTCCGGAAGGAGCACCCTTATCTCTGTGCTGCAGCACTGCCCAGGAGACCTGGGCTGCTTCAGAGAGAGCAATAGTTCAAGAGTGCAGTAGTTCTCTGCTCCCAGGGCATTGCCACACAGCTGCTGGCTCCAGTTCCTGCTGGTGAGCTGTCCTGTTCTGCCTTGTTCCTTCTTGGGTCTGT